GTGTTAGCTGCATCATCACTTAAGCTGGTGATCTTTCCTTGCCTAACAGATATTGTTGCAGAAAGATCTCAGTTCATCACAGTGAAAAAAGGTGATGCATCCACCTGAGTCTCAAAAATAAGTATCTATATTTATTGATACAGGTTTCAGCTTCTAATTAAGGCACTTCCACATCATGTCTGTTGACTAAAGAGAAGAGTTCCTTTGAAAGAAGTTCACACTGTTCCTCAGATACAGGAGGTCTTACCACACAACTGGTAGATTTAGTGTCATCAATAGGAAAGGCTAAAGAAAACAAGGATCTCAGTGCAAGGTGAGAAACCAAAGGAATGGAAACCATCTCAGGCTTTGAAAGATTTCATACTCCACTACTGAAGGCCTGACAAGTAGGTGAGGGGAATCTCTATGTCTGTAACCTAGTTAACTTGTATTTGGCATGAGCAACAGTTAGCATAATCCATAGCTGAACCTGAAACAAAAACCCATCAGGAGCATCTGCTGCTGTGCAACTCTGGTTCCTTAAGCTCAAAGAGAGGAGAAGCACAAAGCTGGAGGGACTGTGATTGAGGCAGAAAAAGCAACTACTTTGGGAAGTGCAGGTGTAATTTTTCCAGTTCTGTGTCTGATAAGTAACAAGAAGTTATAACCTTTTGGACTTGAAGTTTTATGTGCACAAACCTCTAGAGAGTTCCAGGATGTCTGCTCAAGAGAATGACAAGACCTTACTAAGAGGGAGTGGTGAGATCTTATTAACAGAGACTACTCACTGCTGTTTCGTTTGCAATAGTTACTCTTGTGTTAGCTGCATCATCACTTAAGCTGGTGAGGGGGGGGGAGGTAAACAACAGGTCATCTCGTCAATTCGGAAACGAAGAAATCCAGCACATAACCATGAGTCAAAGTAGAAAAGAATCCAAACTCATTAGTAGTCATTTCCAAAAAAGGTGACAAGAGCAACACTTGACTATTCTCAGGGTGTCACTGAACAGCAGAAAAGTATGTTTTCCTCATTTGTGAGCACATTGCATGGAGATTAGCCTTTCAGCATCATTCTCGTGCTCACACAGAGGAATCTCCTGATATCAGAGGCCAGCCCTTAAGTCAGCACCAAATTGTACCACACAAAGATATGTCTACCATGGAACCATTTTCCTACGTGAAGGTCAGTGACTACAGAAGCCCAATGAGGCATTGCCAACATGGTGCTGCTTCAGACTGGCTGTCCTCCATTGCCTTTAGCCCAGTACATGGTCAGCCTCTTGCAGCAGAAAGACAAGCAAAATGCATCCCTCTGTCAAGAAGACCTTGACTAAGATGACTGAGCCTGCACCATCAACAAACTGCAATAGTGTACCCTGAACACTTTCAGGAAAGAGAAACAGTAAATCTGAAGTCAAAAATTGATCTGTCCTGGACTCAGCAAACATCACAGGAAGACTGACTGTAGGTAGACAGAACGATGACAGTAAAACAGAATGAGATGCAAATAATTCCTTGAAAACTTTGCTAGTTAAAGTAAGGAGTGGTTCTTGAGGAAAAGTTAAACTTCTGACATCTTATACTTCAAAAGATTAAAGAATAGCACTTAAACACAAAGTAAATTCTGCATGCAGCAACAAAGGAATTTATATACTTAAAGGAGTAACATAATGCAAAGGAATTGACCCTTCCATCCCATCTTTGTGCAAGAGGAAAAGTTTTTCACAACTATGCAGAACAGGGGCATTATGTTCAACAATCAAGAGGCACAAAAGCTCTCAAAGAGCAGAGAAGAGCCCTAGACCACAGATATCACATGCTAAAAGCAGTCCCTCTCTATTAAAAGAAGAGTTAAATTTTTATAAAGACTTCTGACCAATCCTCTTGAATGCTACAGTAAACATATGAATTAACTTTCCTCAAGAAGGAGACAGGATGAAGCTGCCTTAGTTATGGAGACTATTTCAGGAAATAAGTAGTATTTGTTGGAGTAGGCAGACAGGGAGGTTTGCAACAGTATGGATTCACCTTGTTAAAACATAACATGACTGAAGGCATAATAAAGAATGCCTGGTAGATTTTTGCCAGAGTTCATAAACATGATCAACTTTGTAAGTCTGTCCTAAATTAACTAGGGAATGATTATTTTCATTTCTCAAGAACGCCATTACATGGCAGGACAGATGAATTTCACAACTGTGATGCAAAGAACTGCATACACCACAAAAACAATTGGCTGCATGACTCTGCCTTTCAGGCATTCCTAATCAGCAACATTAAAGACAACTAAATTATATAATTATGTTTTAGAGAGATTAATGACGCCTTCCTTGGTTTTAATTTAAGATTCATATTCAAATATAAATTGAGATATTAGCTATTTTATTAAAGGTTGCTAACTGTATAAAATTCCCACATAGTTTTGGCTAATGTATTTCTGTATTTTGCAACTATAACAATTCCTAATAGAGGCTCAGACTGGAATAGCAATTATTGCCATACTATGCTGTGACTCTGATGTTAAAAGATTAGCAAGACGTTAATTTCCAAGATTTTTTCACTTTTAACACAAACACACAGAGAAGTAAAAGAGGAAAAGGTTTATTAGGTAGACAACTGTTATGACTAATAAACAGGATTTAAACAAAACCATACCAAGAATATGTTTGTAGAATGACCTCGTGAAGTAGATGTTCACCAACTGCCTGTGATTCAGAGCCAGCCCCAGGATTTGGCCTGCGAAACGGAAGTAGTTCAAATGATCTGGATTTACAGAAGAATTGCTGTTGGGCTGGAAAGTTGTTCCTATAAAATAAAAAGATTATCATGTTTCATTACTTTTTTTTTTTTTTAAGTGATGTTCATATTTATCAAATACACTAAGCATCTGAAACCACTGAAAAAGTTTTATTCTGGGGTCCTGGAAGACTGTTTTGGCTTTTTTTTTTTTTTCCTTTTTTTACACCAGAAAGACATCAGAAAGTAACGTATTAGAACATAATAACATCCTATTATTACAATGATACTGCTTAGCCCCTCTCCAAGGCACCACTGTGAAATAGTTACCATCACCATAAGGGTAATCATGATCTATCTCCTAAATTTGCTCCTCCATCTTACTATATTGCTGTATGTATTTTTTGCTCACTCTAATGGGCCACATTTCTATCAATTTGTGAACATGCTCAAAGTAAGGAACAGAACATATCTACTTCCTTCCATCTGGCTCCAGCCAAACGCAGACAGAAGACAATCCAGCCCTGGTCTCCTTGGATCAGGCCACCTCAAACAGAAAGCCCTGAACTTTTCCTTTTAACTTTCAGGAACTAATCTATGCCTCTACTGTTAACTGAATTCCTTGCCACTTCCCAAGACTGTGTAAGGTAGAAAGTAAAACATTTATCACTGATGATGATGTGAAAGCTTTTATTGATAAAGATCTGCTTTATATGAAGCATCCAAAAGACAAAGTCAAATACAAGGTAGACCTGTGAAGATCAACATCTGGTATTACCACAAAAATTAACTGACTGAATTTGTGGATTTCTAAAAGGAAATAAAGGAATACCTTCACAGTTCCCTTGCAGATGCAGGAGAAACAAAAACATTTTCTATACTGGTCTCAAAGTGTAAATTTCTACCAGGCAGAAATTGCACAGACTCACTAAAAGCAACAACTCACTCTCATCTTAGAAAAGACAGAACAAAATCAAGGAAACTTCAAATTAAGAAAAATACTTAATCTGTAGACACAAAAACATACAATGAATAGATCACTTCTCTCTCTATATATATATGAGATCAATTCTGTCAGTGTTGCTTTTAAAAAGTAACAATCATATTCTAAAAGCAATTAAGTGACTTTTTTCTTAGATTATAAAAATGCTGTTATAAAAGAAGACACCATAAATTTGGGGCATAAGACAGAGACATACCATCAGCAGACTGGGTAAACAAGGCGTAATCTGGGTTAACTATTTCACTGGATAAAATATCAAACCACTCACGCACCACACCCTGTCCCTGCACGTCAAAAGAATAAAACATATTAGTATATAGAACTTTCACTTCGCAAACAGTTACACTAGGTAACCACATATTTCTTAATAAAGTATAAAAGTTATTTTAAATTAAGATTTAGTTCAAAACAATACTAGTGAAAGAGAATTAATATTCCCATATATAAATATTATAAAGGAAAAACATGCAATTTTACCCACCATGCCTTCTTCTCCATGAAACCTCACAGCAATCCCCTGCTTCAGTTTTGCACAATTTGCTTTGGATACAACTTCACAGCTACTCCTAAAAATAGAATCTAAATACAAAGCATCAATTAATTTTTTTATCTTAATTCATTATATTTCAATGTATTTCAAAGATATATTAAATCCATTTCTAATACAATACCTCTGTGAACCAAAAGGATGTCATTTTCATTGACAGGTCTGTGCACCATGTCCGAATCTGCCTGCCCAGCATGCAGATGTTCATAGAACCACTCACAGCGATCTTTAAATGGCTACAAAACAAGGGGTAAACCATATTATATAGATGCATTCAACTGAACAATTCCTGTCTCATAAGCATGACCTGAAAATAGCTATGCATACTTCTCAATTCATTTTTGAGATGTGTAGTTACTCGGTGCTACCTCAATATGCTAGACAGTATTTTGGGAAGAGAAAAGGATTAGACACGTCCTTGAGTGCTTGCTGAAGTTTGGTACGCAAGAGGACTGGACTATCAGTTATTCAGAAATAGCTATTGGAGTTCACCACACAGGAAAAAAATAGCACAAAACTTCTTCCAGGGCAGTGGGAGGGAGGAATCTAGATAAGAAGTCAGTCACTGGCTTCTGCAACACTACTGATGATCAACCACAGCTGAGCACAGAAGCACAAGTGATATAAACAAGTTGTAGTAAAGTTCACTGGCAATAAAAAACAGCCCAAAGGAACCAGAAACCTTCCAAAGCAATTCCTAGGTGAGAAGGTCCTGGCTTGTTTGACTCAGTATTCAGACTGACATTTTGCAGTTCTTCTAAAACAGATATGACACAAGTACGGCCTCTCTCATCTATCACTATTCATAGTACATACTTCTAGTTGATCTAACAAACAGGGTATCAGTTCTCAGGGTCTCTTCCTTATTCATAGGTAATGAATTTCAAAACCACACATTTCAACCAAAGAATGAGTAAAAAATACACCTACACCATGTCCTAAAAATGAAACTGGATTACCAAAACCAATTTACATCTAAACACAAAGGCACAGTACTGTTCATAACTAAAAAAAATAAAGCTTTTGGAACAGACACTCCACAATCATTTGGGGGAGGCAGGGGTTCTAGTTGGTTAGAGGAATTTTACCTTTGTTTTCAGCAAATTCTGTCTTTGACCAAAATAGTTTAATGTAAGGAACCTTTCAAATAGGAAACAAAGCAAAACTAAACCAGTATGTGCTAAATGAAGGAGTTCCAAATAGCTCATTATTGCCCAATGACCATCTTCATTTGTAATAGAAGAATGCACAGCTCTATCCCTGAGCTACCATAGACAATCATAATCTTTTAAAAGCAAGTGATGAAAAGGTGGCAGATGCTTAACACTACAGTGTTACGTAAAGCAGCAGGCTTCCACGTGGAGGTTTGCTTGCTAATTTTTCCACTTAACTACACTAGTCTTCCCTAGAGTAACTCTTTAGTCTTGAATTCTTGAATTCATGTTCCATGTTAAACTGAAAAATGAGTTTAGGTAATGCAAGACATCAAAAAAAAAACCCAAACACCAAAAAAACTCCACAAAAACCAAAACACCACAACAAACAAGAAGAAATGGTAGGAAACAGAGCAAGGGTAACAAGATATGATGTTTCACTGAAGTCGCTTCCACTAATTAACTACGGCCAAATCAACCAATACCAGCATATTTACCCTCTGGTGTCTTTCAAAATGTAAGTTAACTAAGGCAAAAACACAGCATTTTAAAGCTCAACCTATTAAATGTACATAAACAGATTTAATAACAGAAAGTTAACACCATTTAACTGAAAGTTGGACTTGTAAGACAACATTTAACACTGGTCATCTCAAATGGATTTCCATATGTATTGTAAAGAATTAGAAGTACAGAAATCTGGCTGCCACGTTCGTTTAATCTTATCTTTCAACATCCCAGATTCAGAAGCATTGGAGACCAAACTCAGTCCTTCCATCCTCCCCAGATAGAGGGGTTTTTTTTAAATATTATTCTTTTTAAACAGAACACCATCTTTATATTCATAGAAGTTGTAACTAAGCAGCTGACATTTACCTGAGCTTTTATGATGTGCATAAATCTGGACATTAGTTCAGGACACTCAAGAAGAAAATGAAAGTGATCAAAAATTATTTTGGGATTTCTGAAAGAAAAATAGGTTAGAAGCCAGTTAGTTAGAGATCAAATAATAATGCTTCATGATACACAAAGTCTACATAAAGAGACAAGGCAATTAGTCATATAGAAAAGTTCCAACAGGGTCTTCTATTAGGTAACATTTTCCTAACTCTTGTTTCCAAATGACTTATACTACTTCATCCTTTGAACATGGAGGATTACAAGCAGCTCTCCACACAGAAGCAAGGTTATAAACTGGGGAGTCCCAGAGAAACTCTGGAAACAGCCAAGTATACAAAGATGGTTTGGACTCCTTTAAGAAGTAATTAAGTACAACATTTGAGGAAGAATGAAAGTTTTCCTCTGCCTCAAAAGGGAAAGCTTTATTTGGAACAAAGATGAGGAAAGAATCAATTAAGGAAATTATTCTGCTGCTCTGTGAAAAAGATTTTGTTCACAAAATCTCACAAAAGGATCACTTACATATGCACAAGAGCTCATTTACGTTTGAGCTCTGAATCATTAATATACACTCCCTTGTATTTGGCAGGACCATTAAAGGGTACATAGTACATATGTCACAACAATTACCTAAAAATACAACTCAGTAAGAAGAAAAATATGAGTTTTAATTATCTGGGGGCGGGAGGGAGAAGTTACAAATTACATATTTCTTGAAGCTTACCGGTTAACAAAACACTTAAGGACATCATCATGTTTACAGACAAATTCTATAAAACGAGGCGATGTCATCCTGTTCAAAAATCATAAGATGCTTTTGGTTAATGAAACTGAAAATAATTTGAATTACATAAATAGTTGCGCTTTTTTTGTAAAATACTATGCAAATGGAACCAAATAGAAACTGATGTTGTTTAGTCAATCATGAAATGAAATACTCAGCAGCATTAAGATTTCGTAATAAACTAATAGAAAAGGTAAAAATATATATAATCAAGACGGTCAAGCAACCTGATCACTAACTGTCATTAACTATATGAAGAAGAAAAGTTCAGCCTAATGGAGGTACACATTTTTCTATTGACTCCTTCTAGCTTTCAATACAACAATGGAAGCACATATATGGAAGGACTCATACTATATGTATCATATGCACATTGTTCTATATTCTTGTTCATTGTATAAAACTCCCACCAGGCAACCTTGTAAACTGTGGTAAGAGGAAAAGAGCCAGGAAGAAATAACATTAAAACAATACAAACTTAATAATGGGGGACAAGGTGGTATTTATTAGCTTCATGAAATAAGAAAATTACTTGCCAGGGAAGCGTCTCATACACTAGTATGGAATTTTAATTTTTTCTCCTATATATATCTGGAGAACAAGGGAAGAATTAACATGGGTACAAATTTCACTCCGTTTATTTATATCTATGTTGGGCATTTTTTAAAAAAGATAAATTCTTAATTGGATTCTTTAGCTTCAGCAAAAGCTAATGAAAATTTGCAAACAATAATAAAACCATCTCATCAAGTGCCTTGAAAGGTTGTGAAAAATAGTACTTTAAAAGTCCAGGATAACAATCCTAGAACTGTTCCCCATACCAATTTAGATAAGAGCTGCTCATTTTATGTAAAACTGAGCTATTTTCCTTCTCTCCCTTACTCTGTTTTGAAGAAACAAGTTTCACCATATCCTTCCCCTCATCTCCCACAAAAAACAAGCAAGCAAATAAAATCTTCCAGAGACCAACTATGAGTATTTTAAACACAGTTCTGGTCTGAGAGATGATCTGAAAGTATTAAACAATAACAGGGTCTTCCCTGAAAGGAAATGAACTCGCTCTGCCTGTTAGTTGCCATACAAGCTATAAGATGTAATACATAAAGGAAAAAAAAAAACACAACCAAACAACAAAAACCCCACCAAACCAAACACTTAGCATACATTCATCAGTTTTGATGCTGAAAACTTGGAACATTGTATTTCAGTATATTAACAAAGAATGCCTAGATTCTATATTAGCATTTGCAGAAGAAAAGCAATTGTGGCAAGTAAAAGAAAATAACCTCAATATTTCAAATGTTAACCAGCATTAAATGGTGTCTTTATTGTATAAATATTAGGAACAATGGAAAACTAGGAGCTCTCTTTACTCTCCTCCATTAAACATTAAAGACATTCAAATCTAAACTTAGAGCCATTTAAAATTATTGTGTCCAAAAATATAATTTGTTATCATTTCAAACGTAATTTGAAGATGGCAGCAGTACTGAGTTACAGCACTGTGCCATTTACTCCTATAAATATAAAAACTTCAGTAAGACAGAGCAAGTCTCAGATCTTTGTGCTTCTCTACACAGTTCTGAAAAGCCCTAAAAAGCAACACAGAATTCAGGTGTGCTCTGCCCTACCTTCCTGCATGCCAGGGAGTTCTCCCAGTTGTCACAAACAGTCCTGGCTTCTATGATAATAACTCTCAGTTAAACTTGCCTCGTATCCACGGGAGATCTCCCTAACCTGAGGCACAAATTACACATACAGACTGACCTACTGGGCAAGGTCGATCAGCAAGTCACCTGGACAGAGGGAGCCAGTCACCTCTACGACTGAATTTTGATATAAAGGGATAAATTAGGGGGTGCAAGGGGAATGCACTTAAGCAATTTTATAAACATTTTACTTTTCATTTGGCTACTCTAAATAATACTTTACTGGCATTTTAGCTTAGTAAGGTTTGATGGAGATTCCAAGGGAGATGGCAAAACAGCAGTTCCTTTTTCAAGGTGGAGTAAAATTAAAAGTGAAGGTACTGAGGTGCTTGTGGAACATGTTGATCTCCAGATCTTCTTTCAGAGTGTCCACAAAGGAGTGCACCCCAGACAAGCAGTACCACTGTCTCGAAAGGTTTTATACCACTTGGTTTGGCAGAGAAAGGAAAATCCTTACAGTGGCCAGGAATAACGAAGAGTTGTCAAGTAGCAGGAACCTTGCTTCTAGATTCCCTCAGGAAGCTTGTAATACTTCTGTACTTGCCTAATTCTCCACTCAAGAGGGTCAAAGCATCCTTTCCTTGCAAGTTCACATATATACTCCATAGCAATCTTGGACAAACTAAGACCTCAGTTACAGTGGACACATTTTTTTTTTGCTTTTTAAACCAGACACTGATGCTATTAAATTTACCTAAGTGGTAGTGCCTGTTGCACACAAAACTATGTTTGTTGACCCGGGACAGGATTCCAAGTGAGAGCCACTTTGAGACTGAACTCTTCTTGTTATAAACTTCTGCAATATAGCCAAGCAAGTTTTGCACAAGTTGTCATTTTCATGTACAAAGATAATTCACATTTTTTTCCTGAGCTAATAGTTCTTGTTGGATAATCACGTTAAATTCAGGGATAATCTCACATTGAGAACCAACAGCAAGAACAGCTAAGTTTCAAGATATCAAAATTACATTACCTGCAGGTATCCCACACGATTACAAAGAGCCATTAGATGTTAAATACAAAATCTGCCTCAACACTGCTACATTCATAGGCAGAAGCACTATGGAAAATTTGCTGTTTGGTGACATTAAAACCAGTGGGAAAAAAAAAAGGCATTCAAATAATTGAACAAATGAAAGCATTAAAAAGCATACCCTTGACTGTCACTAGTATCATATGGTCAGCACTGCCACCCTTCCAAGAAAGCATGTATGATTTTAAAATGGTAACAGTTTAGATAACAAACAGCATCCTCTCCTTACCCCTGAGGCATCTGACAGGAGCAGCACATATAAAAGGCTTGAATGACAGCACTTAGCCTGTTTGCTGTCATGGAGATAACATCCTGGCAATCAGCACAAGCCTCCTGCTTCCCTGCAACATCATATGTCTTTGACTCGCCAGCATGAGCAGACAGCTCTTTTCTGCCTTCGGTTCCTGCAGCAGCAAAGGATGGTGTAGGAGCAGCATCCTGGTGATCTGGTCCTTTTTGCTTCAGTAAAATAGAAGTAATGTTGGCAGAGTCTCTTTTGTTTTTCATCAGCTCTGTAGCTATAAGAACAAGCCATTCATCTAGGGAATGCCAGAGCAGTTCCAGTGGCTGCAATAAACACATACAAAAACAGACAAAAAAGGAACATGTTGACATTAGATAATATTAATAATGTGATATTCCTCTTAAGGCAAATAAATAGCATGCATATTCAAAAGCTTTAAATGATATTTTACAAGTCATGTCAGAGAGAAGAGTCAAATACTCATAAAAAATTCTGTACTTGTAGCCATAGAGCACAACAAAAATTTCATATAGAAGGAAAATAATCAAGCAT